TGGCCGGGCGGCCTGGGAGGGCCTGAGCGTGGCCTGGCACGTGGCTCCTGGGAGGACACTCAGATGCCAGCCCCCCGCAGGCAGCTTTCCTGGCCGCGGTTGGGGGGCTGAGCGCCTCTGTCCAGATGGGGTGGGAGAGGAAGACCCCTCAGTGAGGGGCCGGTCGAGTCCTGCAGGATGGGCTGGGTCTGGGAAGAGAGACCAGGCGCTCGGGCACACCTTGGATGTGACAAGCAGCTCCGTGTGGCTCCGCAAAGGGAGGTCCAGGGAGACGCAGGAAGGAGGCGACAGTGTACCAGGTTAGGGGTGGGCAGCCTTGGGCGCTGGGCGGAGGGGCCCCCTGCTCGTGCCACGAGCTCGATGGGTGCTGGGCAGTGGTGGTGCTGAGTGAATGGAGGGTAATGGAGAGATGGCCACGGAGGAAGAAGCTGCGCCCCCAAACCTGGTGCAGACTCTGAAGAAGGTCCCCGAGCCCTTTGGCCCCTTGCAGGGAAGGCGCCGTGGGAACCAGCTCTGGAGGAGGCGGTCTCTCGGGGACCCGGATGCACCTCAGTGTCTCACAGCCCCTGTGCTGAGCCCAGGGGAGGGGGAGGCCCTGTGAGCAGCAGGGGAGTCCAGCCAGCAGGTGCGCAGACGCTGGTCCCCGGCCGGGCCTGCTGGCAGAGGCGCAGTGAGCTCACCCCTGTTTGCAGGCCCCGTGCCCTCGTGAGGAAACATCTGTGTTGTGCAGGGCCAGTCTCCGCTTTGCCAGAATCTTGCTGTAATTGCAGCAAATGCCTGGCGCCTCGGAAGACTAAGCAGTGGTCGGCAAACTCATTAGTCAACAGAGCCAAATATCAACCAGTACAACAATTGACAACGACTGAAATTTCTTTTGAGAGAAACTATATGGGACAAAAACTATATAGGTAGGTACATTGTTATTAACTTAATTAGGGTACTCCTAAGGCTTAGGAAGAATCACACTCAAGGGGCCAAAGAGCCGCATGTGGCTTTCGAGCCGCAGTTTGCTGACCACTGGGCTAAGGAGTCAGCCCAGAAGGGAGCCTGGGGCAGGGCCAGGTGGTACCAACTCACACCAGCAGCCAGGCCCCAGCGTGGCTCTGTGGCTGCCTCCTGTCCGCACTTCGCCATCGAAATTCTCTTTCAGTTTAGCCCGGCCAGTGTGGCTCAGTGGTTGAGCATCGACCTATGAACCAGGAGGTCAAGGTTCAATTCCCCGGTTGCAGGCTCGATCCTCAGTAGGGGGCGTGCAGGAGGCAGCTGATCCATGATTCTCTCTCATCATTGATGTTTCTATCT